GGGGGAACATTTGTTCACCAGAGTGCCCCAAGGAATGACGAGGTCGAACGGTTATAAACTACTGCAAGACCATTTCAGGCTGGATATAAGGAGAATTTCTTCGCTGTCCTAGCCCCCAAGGTCTGGAATAGCCTGCCATCGGAGGTGGTTCAAGCACCTACACTGAACACCTTCAAGAGAAATTTGGATGTTTATCTTGCTGGGATCCTATGACCCCAGCTGACTTCCTGTCCTTGGGGCAGGGGGCTGGACTCAATGATCTTCTGAGGTCCCTTCCAGACTTAATGTCTATGAAACCTATGAAACTTTTGTATTTTCTCTTTTAGCTGACATGTGAGAAGGTACTTGACCTCATGTGCTATATCACACTCCCCATCCAAGATGGAGTTAAAACACAAGAAGAACAGCCAAAAGTAAAGTCGAAATTCAGGAAAGGTATGGGATTGCATTTCTTTTTCCCTCTGTACAGCTGAAAGAGCAGATATGTATAAATTGAGGGAGAAATGGCAACATTCTCAATGACTAATTAGAGGCAAGCTAGTGTGCATAAATTGCTCTAGCAAACTTTTCCAACTTCCTGCAGAAGATGTTGCACCAGGGGTAGTGACACAATAACATGTACGCTTCATGTTATGTTACACTGTATTGCAAAAGCACAAAAGTACTTGTTTCCTTTCCCTGCCTGATCAGACCTCGCCTTCTAGCAAAATAATTTCAGAACCTACTTGTCAATATCGGAAAGGTGGTGTTTAATACTATAAAAAGAGACAATGTTGCTTGTTTCTGTTTTCTCCACAAAATGACTTGTCACCAATGCATTGCTTTGCTGAGTAACAACGTATAAAACCATAGCAGGAGAGAAGAGGAGGGCCTTGCTTATACTTAGCATTTGACTGATTCTTAACTTGACTGCAACTGTGGAAGCATAGACAGTTGGAGACTTATCCTCTCTCTCTCTTTCATCCTGATTCATTATCACTAATGGAACTGTGTAATAAATATACTTATGACTCTAATGCAATTTATTTGTTACAGGTTCTGACCTGAAGCTTTGGCCGTGTACCAGTAAAGCTGTTATGCCCTACTGTCTCCATTTACTATTAGCTTGTTTCAAGGTAAGCTGTAGTCAAGGCACCATATTGTCTGTGTAGCTTAGACCTGAATTATGCAGCAGGGACCATGGCAATTTCCCTACCCCCACATCTAAGGCAGTGCAATCAGTAGTAGTGTCCTTTGTGTTACTTGGTAAGGATAGTGTGGAAAGAGAGTTTGGCATCTAGATGGGGGGTTACATCAGGAAGGCATGACAGGTTATTGGTACCTAGGGACAGTTGCTTCTATACTGTGAGAAGGAGAGGAAGAGGAATGGATATCTGTTTTCCCCATTCATTTTGGCATCCGGTGGCTACTGACTTGGGAAGAGAGGTGCAGTTTCTCACTTTTCCAAGCTGGCAAACCCTCAGCAGCAATTAGCTCCTCTCCTACTTACCCTGCCTACCTTCCAGCTTGATATCTCTGCTGAAATAGTTAACAGTGGTCACAGCTGTATTGGCCTTAGAGTTTAGCACAAATCACTCTTTGTTTATTGTTCCAGGCTGCCTTTTGCACTGTGGCGAACACTTCACCACTGTGGTTTGCCGTGTCCATAGGGCAAAGGTTCTTCAGAACTAAAAAGGCATGATATTTATTTTTGACATTACAGGTGACCCAGCAAAAAAAAAAAAGTATCTGATGCTGATAGTTCTGTGTATGGGGCTACTAGTTGAAGGGCTCGTGCTATACTCCCCCTCCACCCAAGCTGACCATTTGAAAAAAAACACAAAACTTTAGGGAACTACACAACACCAAAGTGCGTGTATTAATGATGGTTGCCACTCATATGCCAACACCCAACATAAGATAAAAAGGGCAGTCGCACCCTACCATAAAGGAACATTATAACTTTAACTCTGCTATACTCTACTCCAACACTGATTGATTGAGTGCAAATTTTTCTTACAGCTGCGAGCTTTCACAGACAGCAGGGATGATATTGCTTTGGGCCATGTGGTTGTGTTGCTTCAGCATGAATGGCCAAGAGGTGAGAACTTGTTCCTGAAAGCCATCAACAAAATCTGCCAGCAAGGAAACTTCCAGTATGAGAATTTTTTCAACTATGTTACAAGTATCCTTTTTTTTTTTTTTTTTTTTCCTATTATGACACCATGGATGCAGCCCAAAAAAAGTGCAGGACTGTCTTCCCCAATCCCAAACCATGTACATCAGAGAAGCAGACAAATACTCTCATAAGTGGTTGTTCTCCAGGGACCAAATCCTGCTTTGTCTGACACACTGTATAAGGCAGTTGTTATCCATCTGTGGGAGTGTGTATATTGGAGTGGAACTGGCTGTAAATATATGTGGGGGATGCCTGCTGATACCTGAAGGACAGGCATATATACATAGCTGCTACTACTTAGTTGAACAGTATGGCATTTGTTTATGCCGTTACAGATAAGTCTGCCAGGACTTCCTGTACTATCAAGAGTTGCCCGGGACCATTTTGCTGGTTTTTCTGTTCTGTTTGATAGGAAGGTGGGCTGCAGGGGAATGGCAGCTGCACTTCAAAGCACTGGGATTTTGCCCCTTTTTTACTTTACATCTGTTTAACAACTGCAGGCCATCTTTTCAGAGTGGGCTGTGTGCAGATTCCTCCAGAGCACATATGATTTACAACTGCAAGTGTCCAGTGTGTGTTTTGTAATGTGGTCAGCTAAGTGTTTAACTGAACCAGCGTCTCACTGCAGTCATTAGTGAAGGAGGGACCTCATTACCATCAGGGCTCTGAGTGAAATCTGTCCTTATACACACTGTGGGAGACGTTAAGGGAACAAGTTTACAAACAGGACTGGAGAAGGAAGAGGCAAAATAGAGAAATGAAAAGAATGAGAAGATGGGGTGAGGGAGAAACTGAGACGAGCATTACAAATCATGGCACCATTATAATGTGGAGGAAATTCCTCAGCCTTGGGGTGGCTCTGCATTTACACTGTACAGAAAAAAAAAAGCAGAGTGTGAAATATTGGCAGGGAAGGACTTCTGGGATTTCATAGATACCTACGAAGTTAGATACCTAAACACCTTGAGGAACCGGGCCTTAGTGATCTCAATCATTACTTCCACTTCTGTGTCTGACTTGCATATGTGTGATGAGTGTGCCTGGTATGGCTATTTCGCCTGAATTTTTAAGGTCCAGTGTATTGGGAATATACACTGTGACCATGTGTAACTGCCTGTGTAGTGTGTGCGTGTGTAGCAGGTTTGGGGACTTGCTTAGCTCAAATAGTCCTTAAATGCAGTACAGTCCATATTACGAGGGTATGCCTGTCGCACAGGTGCCCTTCTATATCAGTCAGTCCTCAAACTTTAACCTAAACAGTCCATAAAGGGTTAGCTCACAGGTCTTCTTCCTCTTCAGCCCCTTTGAAAGTGCCTGTGGCTCACTGCTAATGCTCCTTCCTCACTGCAGTCTCTCCTCTCAGGCTGGCTGCAACTCAGCTTCCTGCTGTAGTGCTGCTGCTCCAAGTCTCATGGCATCTTGGTCTCTTCCCAGACACTGAGAGCCCCTGGTTTGGTATTGCAGCTGCTGGCCGGGTCTGTCTCTGTAGGAGCCTTTAACTTCCTATGGCCATTAATTAGCTCCCTCAGCTGGCCCAGTGCCCCTGAACAGCCTGTAGTTGGCATTACTACTCTTGCAGCTGGGCAGGAGCCTCTAGTGCTACAGCCTGCCACAGTGAGAATCGGAGGATGAGCAGTTAGAAACTATTTGTCTTATATGACAGTCTTATCAATATGTAGTGTTGCTTCAACATTTGTTCCTCTTAGTAAGGTTTGCTACATGAAGACATTTAACAACCTTTTTTTCCCTATTGAGTCCTGAACTGCTTCTGCAGATATTGATATGCTGGAAGAATTTGCCTATTTAAGAACGCAAGAAGGAGGGAAAATCCATCTGGAACTGTTGCCCAATCAGGGACTGTTGATCAAGTAAGGAAAACAGTGTTTCCCTTTGTTTCAGATGATCTGAAATGTGTTCTACTTGTCTGCATGACTTATGTGAGCTTCTGGGTAATATGTGTTGTGGTCCTTGTAACAAGGACAGAGGTCAAACAGGGTCTTGGTTTTGTGTCTCTCCTACCAAATTCTGGACTTTTTTGATATACTTCTGCTTCAAACTTGTCTAACTTAAGAGTGCTGGAATGTGTTACATTGATCATTTTGGAATAACTGGCACTGAAATGGTACAGAAATACTTCTCATACATTTTTTTTTTGAAATTTGCATGTCAGAAGTATTTTAAACTACCATGTACTCCTCTGATACATACACCGACTGTATGAGTGTATAGGGCCCTTAACCATAACACAACACTAGCCCCAATTTGTTGCCTGTTGCTTGCACTGTTAACATAAGCCAGTTATCTGCATATTAGTTAAGTGCATAAACTAATTAAGCATGCAGCACCTTTTAGCCCCAATGTCTGCTTTGTATACAGTTTAGCTGTATACAAATGGTGAAGACAAAGCAGCCCTCAAAGGGCTCTGTGAGAAGCTTTGAAAATGACAGGAGCTAGTCAATTTCTGGTCAGCCTACCTGCTGCCTCCTGTGTCTCTCCCTCTCTCGTTGTCAAGGATTGTAATAGCAGCCCCAAAACAGCCTGTTGGAAGTCCAAGAAATTATGGGAGAAAGTCATTTTCAGGGCTGCTAATATCACAACACTGACAGTGCTGTAATGTGTACTTAACAAACATTGATTGGTTAGCTTTTAGTTTTAATAAGTGCATACTCCAGGTAGGTGTTTAGGAATTTATTTTCAGTTCTCCGTGCACTTAAATGAAGTACACTGTAATTAAAACATTAGGATAAAACATTTTCAGTAGCAGAATTTAAGAAGCAGCACCTGCATCTCTTTCATTAAGAGTTCTGAAAGATCACATGGAGAGAACAACTTATAAACAGAGTATACATTAAGGCACATTCCAGATAAACTTTGTATTTAAACTTCTGCCTAGATTCAGTGAGTTGTTTATCTACCCTGATGTAATAAGCTGAGGCGAGTCAGGTTTGTTCAGTGCAAGGTGCTATAGGAAGTCTTTTTGACAATTCAAAAGGCCATTTTTTTCTTTGAATCTAGACTGATCCAGTAGCCTCAGCATGGTTTTGGAGGCATAGGCCTTTTGGAAAGTCCTAACAGGTTGTCAGGAAGGAACTGTAGCATTTTCAGAAGAGCAAGAGTGTTCAAGCTCTTCTTCTGGCCAGATTCCAGTTTGGTTAATAATACTGTGAGTACTTCAGTTCCAATTAGACATAGGGTAAGGTTGGGTGTTTTGTTTTTTTTTTCAAAATAACTTAAAATTAGACTCCTGAGCTTCTGGATATGCTCCTTGATATGCTTTGCTTGATTTTTTTTTTTTTTTTAAATCACTGAGCATCCCACAGTTAATTCAATTGAAGCTGCTAGTGTTTGGAAAGTATTAAAAAAAATCAGGCTAAACTAATTCAGGTGATTGACCAGTGGCTTAGAAACCCAGCTTTCAGCAACAGATTTTGAGAATCCTAGAACTCTAACTTATTTTATTCTTCCTTCTGCTAACTGACAAGGTAATATGCTTAGGACTTGATATCATCTGCATTGCTGAGCCTTGTATATGTGGTTATTGGACCACCTGTTTAGATGACCCAGATATATAACCATCCTAAACTGTCTTCATAAATTTGATTCTACCTTGCTTTATAAGGAATAGGGAAGAGAGGGATCAGAAAATTTAGTACTGAAGACAGTCTTTGGACATTGTTCTTTGTTAGTTGCAATAGTTTATTATTGTGTTGTTGGACTTCCGTTTTTAACCTCTCCTTCATGGTGACCATTACTCTCCGTATTCTTGTTCCACCTGTCAGGAAATAAGAGGAAAGCACTGCCGGTGAAGAGAAACTAATTCCCATGGTGGACTATGTTTTTTTTTTAGTCAGCACTATGCCTCCAGCATTAGGAAAGCAGGAACAGATGCCAGTTCCTTGTGTCTTACTAAGCTTTCCTCTTCCTGGACGCTGACCATTATTTGGTCTGTTTGGGCTGTATGTTGCTTCCAAGCAGAATTGGAGGCAGGACAGGTCTGTTTAGAGGGGCCATAGAAGGTAGCCATGTTTCTTGTGGCTTCTTCCCTGCCATCAGCCAACAAAGCTCAACATCATCTCAGCTCTCCTGTCTTGCTCCTTTAGAGCTGGCCTTTTAAAGTCAGTATCCAGACGGTAGTAGTAGTAGTAAATGGCTTTCATTTGGCTCTGTGGCTTCAAGATGAATCTTGCTAGGAACTCTGCACATTTGCACCTTGGCAGTTCTGGCAATAAGGCCACCAGTCTGCGTTGTATAAAGCCATCAAGCCCTCTCTGTGCTTGAAAAGACTCCTCCAACCTTTTGCTACAGTCACACAAAGGCAGGATGGTGCTTCCCACTCCAGTTGTTCCCCACATGAGTACATTTATAGCACCAGTATTTTAAACGATGGGAGAATTATCCCCAAAACTCCTGGATTATGAGGTGGCATCTTTAGTTGGTATAAGATGATTAATCACATCTTTGCTTTGTATAGGTTTTACCTAAATGGCAGTGTAGTAAGAAGTCAGAGTTTGTTCTCAAAGTGAATTTTCTGTTCTTCTACCAACATTTTTTTTTTTGCCCAGAAATTCCCATTGCATTTCAGGAGAAGCTGTATGCCGTCTCTTGAGCCAGCAGTTCAGGAAAACAAACTACTATCTAAATCCTTCAAAGACTGCCATAAGGGCAACATAACCTGTAAAAACCCTTGGTAGCCAGATAGATCAATTTGTAGTAGCCTATAGGCTTATTGTCAGACCAGTAACATGCAGCTTTAGTTGGTCAGATTCTGCTTCACCCCGTGAATTGCCCTTTGTAGGCTTGGGTTCCTGCAGCATTTCCCTCTTCCATCTGTGCTGCAGCCACCTGGTTGTTTTTACCTGTGTTTCCCCCATGCTGTCGGCTAGATTATCTGTAGTGAAATTGGAAGTCAGCCATTCGGTACTTCAAGCTCTGCTTTAGACAAGTCCTCTTCCCTAGCTCTGTTGGTTGCAACATCCACTGAGCATAATGGTTACCAGGTACAGCAAGGGAAGAGGGGAGTCTTGGACTATAAAAAAAAAAGTTGGTCTTATCCTTAGGCCCTATTTTTTTAAATAGCCTGAGAACAGTATGATACAAAGAACAGTGAATTACTCACCAAACGGTTTGGTTACCTTGGCTGGAAAGTTGACTATTCTATTTTCTTTCCCTACCTGTCCCTCCAAATAGACAGATGAATAAAACCTCATCCCTACTATGAATTGAAGCAGATCAGCTTCACGTTGTGACTCATTCACACTTCTAAACGGGACTCCAAGGTGGAAATATCTGGATACACTTTCATCTTCTGGCTTGCATATGTCACTTTCTAAATCTGAAAGGACTAGTTGCAAGATCCCTAAAGCCCTGCTTTATTCTGTTGGCTACTAAGTAATCAGGAGTTTGATGCTATCAGACTACCATGTGCCAGGGAGAATACATCTTGGCAAGAATCAAGTTTCCATATCTATAGAGTATGCCTTGAATGTGCCACTGATTAGTAAATCATAAACTTGTGGCAAAGGTTGTTGCTGGGCTCTCATTTTTCATCCAATTTATAAAGCCTCAGGTACCTGTTGGAATGCCAGGGCTTTTATAGCCTTGTGGGGGAGAGACAGGAATGCATTGAGAGTTTGTGTGAAATCGTGACTCTGTTTAAAAAATAGTATCTAGACACAGCCACTGCTACACTCTTCATTTGTGGTCCCTTTCGGCAGCTAGATTGCAAAATAAGACCTGCTCTCTAATGGGTACCATTGGGTGTGTGCATATAGCTAGACTGTGGTTTTGGCAAGCAGCAGCAAAGTAACAGGCAAGCAAAACAAATCTGTAACCCAGGCCAGACTTCAGCAGGAGTCAGCACCCAGCTCCCCTCTCTCTCTCTCATTCTCAAGACACATTTTTGAAAATCCCAGAGACTCCACACACACACATACTTCACCCCAGCCCCTCAAGCATACTGGACACTTTTGAAGTATTCCTATTCCATCAAATAATGTTTGTGAATCAGGGTTTTTCAGGATCTGCCAGCTTAATCTTAGTACTTCTGCAAAAAATAAGTTATCCCTCGCTGTTCCTCTGAATGCTGTGATTGACTTTTAGCAGCTCTCCACCCACCTGCATTAATGAATTGCAAACATTGACCCCATGAATCACCCTTGGCATCCTGAAGATGGACACCTAAACTCCCTATTTTTGGCATCCGAGTGGCCAGCTTTTTCGAAGGTTGAGTAAGTTGCCCTCCTGTTTGCTTTAGTGGGAGTGGTGGACCTGCAAGGCTCCTGCCAATCAGCTCATTTGCTTATGTTCCTAATGTGGATTCAGGTGCAGTTTACAGGAGCTCTAGTAGGAAAACTTTGACCACCAGATCTACACCAAATTTCCAAAGTTTGATCAGGCAGGTTACAGAATTTGCTTTGGGCAGTTTGAGGCTTGCATTCTTTGCTATAGAGTGCACACACATTCTGGATATGTGCCTTCTCCTCAGAGTATGAACTGTTGGGGTTTTTTAGCTAAAATATCATTTGGTGGCTGATCCATAAAGAGACTACCCCATTCCCTAGGCTAGTGATAGATTGCCCTGAATGTGGTGGTAGGATGTGGAAAATGTTTGAAGAGGTACATAAATGAAGACAAAACACCTGATAGGTGCACAGCTTTTTTCACATCCTACATGTAGTTTGCAGAGTTGGTATTTGTGCTCTGGCATCAGCACCCTGAACCTGGTTCCTTGCTTCATTTGGAAGACGAGTGTGCTAGTTCCAAGGTCTCTATGTACTATGCAGTGAATGCTGTAATGTACACAACTGTACTGTTCCCACAGTGCCCCATGTCCATGCACCTTGCTTGGGCTCAGCAGGAATTCCCTTAGCTCAAAGATCTGAGTTGTCAGCTCCAGCCAAGATGGTGCTCTCCACACCTGCTAAGGAATCTGGTCTGTCTCCAGTAGTCCTGCAGTCAGTGAAGTGGTTCCTGGGGACTGTGGCCATTCTTTCCCATAGCTCCCTGGGGAATGCTTCTCCTGCCTTTTATCTTCTCCAGACCTGAGGCTTTAGGTGATCTGGCTACAGGGGAATTTGGGATTTGCTTTCTCTCCCCAGAGTATACGTGAATTTCTCTCATTAAAGAGAGAATGAACACACAGAGCCAACTACCACTGTTGTTTGGATGCTGGAGGGCTGACAAAACAACATTGACTCTGACTGGAGTCCATGACCATTTTTGTGATTCCTACCCTCAGGGCCTTCCGCTCTTTCATTCACTTTCCTTCCTGCATCATTTGTGAAGGAACCTCTGTATTGTTATCCAGAGTATTGCCCTTTTTACCGTACCTTTATTTTTTCCCTTCCATGTCTGATAGTCTGGTCTACTCCCATGAGCACGATTGCAGGAGTGGTAGGGTGGACTGGCCTTTTCTAGAGCTCTCCAGCATTCCCTTCCTCCACCCTTGTGCAGGTAGCAAGCCATGTAATTTCCTGTCTTTCCTTTTGATTCTTCATTACTAGCCCACAGGGCTTCTTAACCTTTGTGCATCCGTAAGGCTTGGTGCTCCTGATCCATTGGTGCTTTTCTGGACATCAGTTTTGGGAACTAGATTTGGTGTCTTGTGTGTTGAGCTACTTGCTTGGCACTGTTTTGGCCATTTTTGCCTTGTGCAGCAGAAGCCCTAGTAAGTTTTAAAATTGTCACACATGGTTATCCCATACATCTCACTAGCATGCATTGCTGGAGTCTTGTGCCTAAGAAAGGACAGATCAGCTTACTGATGTCACTATGAGCTTGTCAGAATCAGCAGCCCCTGAAGGCCTAGAACACACAGGAGAGATCCACCAGCATATCTAGGTTAAACTGTGTCTGCTGTCATTTCTGCATCAAGGCTTTGGCCTCCTTCCAGCCTCAGTGCACCCAACAACCACCGTAGGACAGAGTCCTCATTAAATAAAGCATTGCTCAGCCAAAATACCAAGCTGTTACTCTGTGCTTTGCTTTCTGGAGCCATAAAAGTTTTGTCTGGTCACCTGCCCTTACTCCTTGGTTGCTGAGTTAGGTTGTCTACTGGCTCCAAGGGCTGTTTCAGCCAAATATATTTTCATCTCCACCCTATGATGCAAGGAGGTCTGGCTCCAGAGTTGGAATGTGGATGACAAGACTGAGTAAGCCACTCCTATTACCTTAGGGTCTTTGAGGAGGATCTGTACTAGACCAAAGAGTCTTTCCCACTCCAAAAATGTGCCCCACGCCAGTGCACAAATCCCTTTATCCTCTCCAGGCCTGAGGCTTTGGTGATCTGGCTACAGAGGAATTTGGGATTTGCCTTTCTCCCGAGTGCGAGTCAATTTCTCTCATTAAAGAGAGAATGAACACAGAAAGCCAGCTACCACTGTTTGGATGCTGGAGGGCTGACATTACTGAAACCTGCACACAGGTCCAAAGAGGAACCCCAGGTCCATTCCATGACTTATTGAAAGGAGCAGGTAGATGCATCTGTGAACACCAGTCTGAAAAAGAAATTGAGCTTTGAGAGTAAGATCTGTTGATTATAGATAAAAAATGGTGCAGTCTTGAAGGAGAAGCTGCCTTTGAATCTATGCAAATCTCTTTGAAGGCTGTAAGCTCAGGACAGTAGGGCTGGAGAAAGAGATTGCACTTGGAAAAGGTCTGAGGGGGTTAGAAATGCCATCCAGACTTTCCCACAAGGTCCAGTTACTTGCAGAAACAGATCCTCTTTAATCCTGGGCCTGGCAACAACCAGGATAGCAATTTCCTTCATTCACTTTGATCCTGCATGAAGTCTGAACATCCAAAAAAGGCTGTTGCAGTTACTATTAGAACCCCTCCCAATCCCTGGAGAATTTAGTGGCCTATGCAGGGGAGTCGAGGCCCAGAGACTTGAATCCAGGAAACTTGGCACGGAAAGTGAAAATAAATGAGTCTTCTAGAAGGTGTTCCTTACTGCTGGCAAAGGAAGAGGAACTCGCCTGCTGCAAACTCAGGGACTGGTGTCCAAGTCAACCCAATGTCCTATGCTCTAGCTCCAGCAAGAAGTGAAGACAGACACCAACTAATTTCTGCATTTGCTTTCCAAGCTACTTTGCCCTGATTCAGCGTCCGGTGAGAAGCAGTTTCACTCGGAGGGGTGGGGGTTACAGGAACAGTCTCTGACAGGCCACACTCCCTTGGTTCTTTAGGAGTTTTATTTTGGGAATGGGTCTCTCCTTTTCTCCTAGTTCCACTTGGAACAGCATCTCTCTACCTCTCTCAGGAAAAGCCTTGTGGGCATATTCCTTTCTACAGGTGATATGTGCAGCACACTTGTTGCCCTTTTGGTTGCATTGTTTTTCCTTCTGAACCACCTCTATCACCCCTTAAGAACAGCAGCCTGCTTTTCTAGATATTTTGGAGCCCTTTCATTGGTTTCTGAAGATAGCACAGTTCCTCTGGGACTCTGCATTCTCCTGCTCCTGCTGCTGGTACTTCTGGTCAGTTACAGCATGCTCTTGCCTTCTGCTCAGAAGAAATTGCTTGCTCAGGTAGCCTAAATTCCTGTGCAGGAGGGAGGGTGACACACAGTGTCTCTTTGAGGTCCCATCATTTAAAATATTTGAGCTAAGGGAGGTCCTGCCCTGCCTGTGCACAGACAAACGCCTGCTTGTGGTAATGCGCTGAGATGCATGTCTGCAGAGGAGAGGGCCACTGGTAAGTAGTAATTTTTCTTCTTGTTCAGTTCCCCATTGCCTGTCTGAAATATGCCCTGTTGCTTATAAAGAGAGCAGAGATAGGAAACATCACACTGTCTGCCTTTGGGCCAGCACAACCTCTTTGTTCCCTTGGTTTTCCAAAAACATCCCATTGCTCCTCACCAAAATCATTTCATGTTTAAGGAAAACATCCCAGAAAGCATTTCTGCCCATTTTTGGATGACATGTCTGCCCACACATAAGCCATGAAATGAAGCAGAGAGCAGGTTTCATGGTGTGACAAAGCTGTGACCGTTGCAATAAGGTGCTCAAGTAATGGGTAGAAGCCACATTTGTTTCCCCTCCCCAACTGCAGTTGTACTATTGGTCACACACTGCTCTTTGTGGTCTCCTTCCAAGTTCTCTCTCGTCTCTCTTTCTAGAGAGTTGCTTTGCAGCACAGGGCGAGTTGGTGTGGGTGTTTGAATGCTGCTGTTTGCTGTTTTTTAAAGGACTTCTAGCCCTCCCATGGGGTTACTGCAGCAGGAATTCATACCTGTGCTACAGCCCAGCATACAGACTGCTGACAGGTACCAACTGGAAAAAACCCTGCTCATGGTGTGCTGTGTTTTGTCAACATGTTTTTACTGCCCATGGTTTTCAGTACTTTATTCATAATTTCTTTTTCATTTGTGCCTACATTGCTTGGCAAGCCATGTTGTACTATTGTAACATTTCTTATTTTTCCATAAGTTACCAATACGTGTCTGTTTTTTCAACTTAACAATCACTGTTGAGTTTAAAAGAAAACTGTGGAGATGTCAGTTAGATAATATGGAAGTCCAGTTATCAAAATGCTTCAAACAGAAGCATAAACCTTTTTTGTGTTAGATCTACTTGTAATTTTTTTCTTCAATTATATAGGTTGCAGTTCAGCATTTTCTGTCACTAATATTGAAGTAATTAAACATGGCTATTAACAGCTGAAAAATCTAGTCTTTGAAAAATGCTGCTAGTAATACCCAGCGTTTATCTCGTTTTGTATTATTTGCTAAGCATAGCCCTTGGCTGTCAACAATGCTTTCAGGATCTGAGGCACTGAGGACAGTAGACGTGATTTGTGCCATAAACCATGGTGTCCAAATGCAACGTCAGGTTTAGCTGCCTGACTTAACAAATTGCACAACACAGTCTCCATGTTAAAATCATTTACTGTAGTAACAGTTGAAGTCTTGCTGTTTCTTTTAAGTCATCTTGTGAAGCCATTTGCTGCTTGTATGTTAAGTGTAAAATCACCCTGATTATTTTTTCCCCCTACGTGCTGAAAACTGCTGTCTCTCTGTCTCATTTGAAAGGGAGCCAGTTGATTGTACACATTTGCTGTGGGGGGATCATTGAGTGCTGAAATATCTGATTTTGGTTTCTGACACAATTTCTTCCTGGGTTTGGTTTCCAGAACTGTCCTTTTTGCTTTGCTTCTCCCCATTTCTGTTTTGCCTGCCAGTCAGTCTCTTTCCTCCTTTTGCTTTTTCTCCCAGTTCCTCCCACAGCCCACAGGATTTAGCAGCTGTCTCTGACCCCTAAGGCTGGCTGTACTCTCTCCTGCCCCATTTATGCTTCTCAGGCCCAGGTGGTATGAGTAAAACAAGCAGCTTCAGGGAGCCAGATCCAGTCCAGTCCTGGCTGCTCCACAGACCTCTGGAATCCAGAGTAACCTCCTCTTCTCCCAGTTTTAGTTAGTGTAGCTGCCACTGCAGAGACTTGCCTCTGTTCACAGGCAGAACTAATTAGCGCAGATAGCTGTGCTGCTTCCAGTTCAGGAGGTGATCCTTAGCAACTCCCAAACTAGAAGCAGCAGAGCAGGGCTCACATAGCACCACGTACTGTTGGGCTGCATCCTCTCACTGGGAGGCTGCCTGGCCCCAATCTTGGACCAGCATTTCAAGGTTGTGATTAAAATCCCATTTCAGAAAGTCCTCAGGACAGTTCCAAAAACTCAAGATAATCCTGAAAAAAATCAGGCAGGTTGGTTGCTGTGAACATTAAGCTCATTCTTTTGTTCCCCCACCCTCTCTTCACTCCCACCTCCTCCTAGAGCAGGGCCTGCAAATCTGATGCAAAGCCTTTGACCTGCTGTGTGGCATGCTAGATCAGGGCAAGTGGAGCTCAGTACCCAAATATGGTACAGCACTGTTCTAATAGAAGTAGCCTGGGCCTCCAAAACTGCATGAACTGAAGAAATGAGCACAAGGCTGATAATAGCATGAGGTGATTTTTAAGGCATCCTATTCCACTGCCACAATGAGAACTGCCTTGGCTGAGTACTGGACCTACTGCGCTCTTTGAAGCACAAGTCCTGTATATGTAATCAGAGAGAGAAATCTTTGGGCTCTATCAAGACTTGCCATTCCAGACAGCTGCTGGCTTCTGCTACCACAGGCCACCAGGATTTGCCTTGGTTACGAGCCATCCAGCAGATCACACGTAGATAGATGTTTTACTCCCCCAGGGTCTTGTGCAGGTTTGCTGCTGTAGCTACCTACAGAGCTCCTTCACTGGCACAAGCTGCAGTGAAGTGAACCATGAGCCTAGTAGCAATTTTTCCCTCTGTTCTTGGTGGGTGCAGGTGCAGAATGCCTGCAGCTGCTGGAAAGAGAACCCAAAGGATCTGTGGGCCTTTTTGCTCTTCCGTAACTCTCAGCCAGTTAAAATGGGTAAGCAGCATTGCAGCACCAGACCAATTTCCTCCTCAGCACAGGGCAAGAAAAGGAGATCTGAAAGTGCTAGGAGAGGCCATGGAACAGAAAAAGCTTCCCCATTAGTCTAAACTAAACCCTGACCCTTCATTTTGCATTTATGGATTCCTCCAAAACCACTGTTAAAATTCTAATAAGCAACTAAATGTTTACTAAGGAAAGCAAAGTGTAGGTAACATTTTGTCTCTCTGGCTAGAGGCCTTGAATCAAACACACACACACACCACCTTTGAAAACATCTTAATGCCCAAAGTAATTCTTCTTTGATTTTGTCTTATTTTGTTTTCTTGATGGCTTTAGGCATCACACGGTGACCCGGGGAATAACCAAAGGAGTGAAGGAGGATTTCCGTCTGGCCATGGAGCGCCAGGTCTCACGCTGTGGGGAAAACCTCATGATGGTATTGCACAGATTCTGCATTAATGAGAAGATACTACTACTTCAGACTCTGGTCTGAATGGAGGCATGGGCATCCAACAACAGCTTTTTCCTGCTTTTTCCTCAGAAAGGGCAGCAAAGGCCATATTAATTAACAGCGCTGCTGTTGAAACAGAATTAACTTAAAATTGTCCTGTTAGTGTTGGTAAGGAACTCCTGATGAATTGCATGTTCCGGACAGCACATAAACAGGAAAAAATGTGGGTGAACAATCTGTTTTAATGGATCAAATATTTTATAATTAAACTTCCTTTAAAAAAAAAATCTGTTTTTGTGATTATTGTAGTCAGGCTTAGGTAAATGCAAAAAACATCCTTTGGAAAGAAAACTATAATTTATTTAAAAAAATACAGAAGAAGTTGAGTATTGTCAAGACTTTTTATTAGCACCAGTTTGGAAGTCACCTTGTGAGTGAATCTTGTAGGTCAGCTCTCTCAAAGGACCTTGAATACTTGATGGAACCATTGAAAATTGATCACCCCTACTATCATTCTCTTTGATATATCAAGTTCAGGGTGTCTTTCTCTTCTGTTAACCTGCTGGGGTTGAATACTTCTCTTTTTTTTTTTTAATGAAATCACGTCTGAATTTAATATGATCACTGTTAAAAGAAGGATCATGCCTGTGAAATCTAGTTGCTTAGAATAAAATTAAAGAACACCCCTACTTAGTGCTCTTAATTGGTTCCTGAAAAAATGAGCCTTAAGTGGAAATAGTGTTAAGCAAAACCAAAGGTTTTGACAAACCAAGATGGCAACTGTTAGCATTATACTGAAACTCACTGAGCACCAGGTGGAATCAGGTATCAATGTAAAATGAGCATTATAGCACTAGGCAAAACAGCATTAAGCAGGAGTTGTTTGTATATCACTGTTCTCAATGACGTTTTAGTCGATATTAAGTCAGAGAGTAACAATTTGAAATGTAGTCTGTGCCACGCAAGCTGTAGGCATCTAGGCTATGCTAGAGAAATGTACTTATTTAAAGGCCATAAAACATTTGCAGACCATTTGGTAAAAACCATATGGATGCCAGAAGCCTACAAAATTAAGTCTATCAGAACAAATAATTTCTTAGCAGGTTTAGGGTTGTTGTCTATTAAAACATAACTGATTTAAGCTCCGAGTGGATGCAGACCAATGGAGGCATTTGTCTTCTCCTGTTGCCACCTAGCCACAGCACAGCACAGACAGCTTTGAAGTCTCCCAGCATGCACTGCAAATTGGACCCAAGCTAAAAGCTCTGTGGTCCTCCCCCTACTCAGAGTGGAACAGTGTTGCAGTGACCAGATGCATAGGAGGGACCTTCTCCAGAGCCAGGAACTTAACTAATAAGCTGCCATTGCAGTGCTGGCAGTTGAAGTGTCAGTCTAAGAGCCGTGTCCAAGCTCCTGAATTAACTGCAGTAATTTGGCAATTACTCTTTCCTTTGTATTAGCTGTCATTGGCCATTAAATATATATTACATGTGAGTGAGCTGCAGCATCTATAATAGTTCACTTGATGAAAGGCAGCAGCTTTTCAGAACAGTGAAAAGCTATTCGGTACATCTTGTATTTATTGTATATACACACACATCAGCAGCACTGTACTGAGCACCAGAACATATACAAAATAGAATATGCAACCAGATGGCCTCTGGCAAGATACTGTGTTTTCACTAACTAGGAAAATACTGTCCCTTAGGCACATAAAAGTCTTAATGAAAGCTTCCCTGGAAATGTAAACTGAACACATGATCCCTTTTTAGTAATGAATCCCAGCTGGAATGGCATAGGTCTGGGGGAGTCCAGCTTCAAGCTCCTGTTGAACTGAGGACAGGACCAGCATTCAAAAGCACTCTCAGATTTTCCAGAATATCCTTTTCCGGTAAAGCACATACGATATGACGACCCAAATCGACGTTGCAATCAAATTCTGAGCCAAGTGCTCTGCATGGCTTTGATTGTCCTGCATCTTCCACTTAAAGGGGAAATAGTCTTCAAATACTTCATGCCCGACGTAGACCAGGATGGAGTTCATTCCTTAAAATAAATTCAAACAGTGCCTTCAGAGAGGACAGTCCCATGCTCAATGGTTTTGCAATGAGCAAGCTGGGCATCAGACTGATTCTAGGATGGGGAGTCAGAATATCCTAACTATTAACTCTGGCTCAGTTGCTAACTTATGTGACCTTCCACACGTCATTTTTCTACCCCAGATGCACGTTTATGAAGTGGCCGTATTCTTGTGCAAGAGAGTTTCAAGGTTTAATTAACGTCAGGACAGTTCTACAAACACCTTTACCAAATGTTTCTGCTTTTATTATTAAATTTGAGTGTCAGGACATTTTAACACTTCAAGAGTTTTCATTACAAAAACATTTCAGGATTCAAAAAAAAAAAAACAAACAAACCACATTCAGGAATAAGTGAGACTGTTTGAAACTGCAGTCAAACTAGCTTTTCTTTGCATTAGTAACTAGGATAAGCAGATTGAACTGATGATTGTGTGACCAAAGAGGCTAAGTGGGCTGAGTTTAGCCTGGAGTTTTGGTAATTAGTTAGGGTGGCCAGAATCTGGAACCAACTTCCCAGGGAAGTGGTCCTTGCTCCTACCTTGGGAAAATTCAAAAAGAGGTTAGAGGATCACCTGTCTGGGGTCTTGTGAACCCAGCATTAATTCCTGCCTGTGGCATGGGGGTCAGGCTAGATGATCTGATCAGGTCCCTCCTGACCCTAGCTACTATGAAACTAATTCCTAAGAAGAGTATCTAGATGCCTTTTTCATCCCAGGAAGAGATGGCTTTTCAAGCCTGAGAGCAGGCCACAAAGACTGCTGCCAGACTGCACCCATTGACACCGGGTAAGAGTTAGTCCCCCAGGTTAATACTATAGTTTTGTTGCAAGAGTGGTGGATGATACCTGAGGAGAAGGGGAAGAGAGGCTCTGAAAGGGCTAGAGAGAGAAAGCAAGAGTCTGCAATTCTCTCCCTGTCTGTCCTCCCTGTGTTCAGGGCCGAGTAGTTTGCTCTGCTATTTAGGTGACCCACCCCAAAACTTTGAGCAGGAAAACACTCCCCTTTCCAGGAGCTGTGCAAAGGAGAAGCTCTCTGAGGTAGGATTGCTACAGATAGCCAGAGACAATAGCCAGTCTTGAAGCCAAAGACTGCAAAGCCACACTAGAGGTTCAGGGAATCTTCCAAGAGACCAAGACCAAACAAGGTTGCTTCTTGGGGAGTCCCAAGGCAGAGCTTCCCCTAAAAAGGGCTGACCCATGACAGCTTGTCTCAAAGGTGGCTGTTAATCAATTTGGCCAGATGGCTGCCTTAACAGACAAATGCTGATCTCAGCTGGAAGATATGATGAGTGTTTTAGTTTGATACCTTTTGTGCTGTTTCTCCCAATTATGCATAAATAAGCTTCTCCGCCTGATGGAATAGTGCTCTAGCACCATTGCCAGGACCTCCTGGGGCCAAATTCTCTCTCTCTCTCCTCTCTACCAAAAGCATATTAAGAAACTAGACCAGTTTTCCAGCTTGCACATGCCTGGCATTTGCACCTTGGTTTCTTTTGGAGCCAAGTGCAAATTCAGTGTCTGCCAAGGGCCCAAAGTAAGAACAACAGGCAGAAATCAAGGTAGTACCTTGTGTGCAAGAATATGAATAGCACTCATGGGAGGGACCCAGGAGACAACAAAGGTGAGCTGAGTTGCTCTGCTTTGAGAATGCACATAGTACAGATCAGTGGCTATGCTCAGACACAGTCTCTTAGGGCTCCCAAAGAGGTAAATTCAGTTTCAGAGGCTTTTCTCCAAGACGAGACCCTGCTGTCTGGGGTGGTTTCTGAGATGGCCCTTGGGAACTGACCCAAGATCATCCTGGTAGCTAGGTGGCTGTCCTTTGGGAACTGACCCAAGATCATCCCACTCACCTAGAACAACAGTCATCAGGTGGTAGCCCCTTCTGGTCCATACCAAACTGAGGTAGATTTGAACCACCTACTGACAGCCAAACAGAGCTCTATATCCATGACTGATGCGGAGAAACAGTTCAAACCACTAACTTCAGATTCAAAACAAGGTGCAATGGAAAGGCAGATTGCCCCAAGATCAGAAGAGAGGCCAAAAGACAATTTCCCTAGCATAAAAGAGAACAGGATGGCCCTACAGGTAGCTGCATTGGAAAGAAAATGCTTCCTGCCTTGCATATACTGACCTGGGTAGAAAAATGGAGCACCAGACCACCATCTCTTGATATCCACAAGGTAATATATCAGCAGTAAAAGCATGAAGGCAAAACAGCTCAGGGTTGTTACGTAGGACAGGGACCTGCATATTTTTAGTGTGAATTTAAAAAGACATTTAGAGAATGGGGTAGATGTCTCTTATTAAAAACAAAACAAATGCCATGATCTCTTTAGAGATGTATGAATATGCACACTGAACATCAATAAAAAGTTGTGTGGATTTACTTACCATAGGTTCTTATTTATGGGAATAAATCCTTCATCCTTAGAGCATTTTGTCAAGGCAGCAGAAATAACAGCCTGAAATAAGAGTTTGGAGGTTAAGTCAGCTGTTCAGTGCAGTATCCATTAGCAATAGAAAATGTGTGCTGTATAAAAAAAGATATTCATGTTTGAAAGTTTCCTAGTTATGCTTAAAACTACCATAGGCAAAGAAAAGTAACAAAGTACTGTACATCTTACTTACCATTTTTAGACTCCATATGAAAAACCTACTCAGGATCTGCTTGTGCTGGTCTTTGTAAAATAAGAGAATTTTTCCTGCCTGAAGTTGAGGAAGAAAAGAATCAAAGCCATCACAAGAACCAGTAAAGCTCCCCAGATGTATTTACTAATGAGCACTTGCACTAGAACTGAAAACCTTACACAGCACTGCTAGTGCAGAATACTTTGAAGATGCTGTGAGATCAGGAACTCTACTCAGAGAATGTATTCAGGTAGTCTAATTTTATTGCATGATTAACCAGTTAATTGCATATTATATGTAACATGTAATAGGGGCTTGTGCAACACCTATTTAGCAAAGAAAGTATACTTGATTTCTTCCCCCCACCCACCAAATCTAGCTAAATTACTACCCAAACAGCTCCAGTCCTGCTCAAGAGTATTTCCTATTAGTGCAACCAACAATTATGTACCATCATATTTGCACATGCAGTCCTAGAACCCTCAGAGTGCACACATCCCTTTCAGTCCCAGCATCCAACACCCCTGGTTTTCTATCTAGTTCTTCAGCCTCACACTCATGTATGTAACTGCTTCTCTGCCCAGAATTCTGACACTTTTACCCAAAAGGTGCACACAGGGTCATTTCTATCTGAAACAGAGAAGGCTTGAGTGAGCGCCCAATCAGGCCCCAATGCACAGATCATGGGTATGCCAACAAAGTTGCCCTGCACTTCTCTTATGGAGCTTGAGTGCAAACCACCACAGTAAACTAAACTAAAGATGCATAAAGCACTGCACAGCAAGCTAGAAGCAACATAATGGAAATGAGATAACCAAGATTACCCAGGAAGAGCTCAAAATGAGCACTTTTAGGCTCCCTTTTGCCTTATTTTCAAGAGAACTGAGCACTCAGTTACCAGACCTCAGAAGCAACCACAGGCAACAACTCCAGGCCTTTCTGAGATGTTTTCCTGTGACATTTTGAGACATCATATAAAAGAAGTGTTACAAGCCCTAAGCAAAGCCTCTAATTTTTCAAACAGCTGCCCACTCCAGTCCATATTATCTGCAAACTTCAACCTGAAACATTACTTTTTGGAAGTTCTGGCTGTAACCAATGGTTTTACCGCACACACGCCCCCCCCCCCATAGAGTGAGAAGAACCCTTCAGCTGATTCCAGGAAATGTCAGTTCCTTCCAGCCCAAGAAGGAAACACCATACCTGAAGTCCCAGGAATGCCATGAAGATGGAGTTTATTGTTCCCAAGATCCCTTCAGGATCATATGCCACTCTTGTTTGGTAGATCACCTTTGAGAAAGAGAGGGATTATTAGAAAGTCCCAAGAGGCTCTGAATTTATTTGCCTTCTCTCATACCCCTCTTCACTGGCT